TTTTCTTTTAAGTAATCTCTACACCCAGTGTGAGGCTTGAACTCAAAACCCTGACATCAAGAGTTGTATGCTCTACCCACTGAGCCAACCAGGTGCCCCATTCCATTGATCTATTCTTATGCTAATACCACAATATTTTAATTACTCTAGCTTTGTAGTAAGCTGTGAAATGGGGAATTGTGAGGCCTCCACTTTTTCAAGATTGTGGCTATTTGAGGTCCCTTGCTTGTTTTGGGGTTTTTTTAGTTTTGATTTAAATTCCAGTTAGTTAATATACAGCATGTTAGTTTCAGGTGTACAATATAGTGATTCAGCACTTCAATGCAACACCCAGTGTTCATTACAAGTGTATTCCTTAGTTCCCATCACCTATTTAATCCATCCCCCCACCTACCTCCCTTCTAGTAACCATCAGTTTGTTCTTTGTAGTTAAGAATCTGTTTCTTGCTTTGCCTCTCTACTTTTCTCCCCCCTTTGCTCATTTGTCTTCTTTCTTAAATTCCACACATGAGTGAAACTGTATGGTATTTTCTCTCTCTGACTGACTTATTTTGCTTAGCATAGTATTCTAGCTTCATCCATGTTGTTGCAAATGGCAGGATTTAATTCTTTTTTATGGCCGAGTAATAGTCCAGTGTGTGTGTATGCATGTGTGTGTGTATACACACCACATACCACATCTTTATCCATTCATCAATTGATGGATACTTGGGCTATTTCCATAGTTTGGCTATGGTAGATAATGCTGCTATAAATACCGGGGTGCATGTATCCCTTTGAATTAGTATTTTTGTATTCTTTGGGTAAAAACATAGTAGTGCAATTGCTGGATCATAAGGTAGTTCTATTTTTAACTTTTTGAGGAAACTTCATACTGTTTTTCAGAGTGGCTGCACCAGTTTGCATTCCCACCAACAGTGCAGGAGGATTCCCCTTTCTCCACATCCTTGCGAACACCTGTTGTTTCTTGTGTTGTTGACTTTAGCCATTCTTTCTTTTTTTTTTTAAGATTTCATTTATTTATTAGAGAGCACAAGTAGGCAGAGGGAGAGAGAGAAGCACGATCCCCGCTGAGCAGGGAGCCCGATGTGGGACTCAATCCCAGGACCTGGGATCATGACCTGAGCCGAAGGCAGATGCTTAACTAAGCCACCCAGGCGCCCCCAACTTCAGCCATTCTGACAGATGTGAGATGATGCCTCATTGTAGTTTTGATTTGCATATCCCTTATGATGAGGGATGTTGAGTATCTTTTCATGTGTTTGTTGGCCATCTGTATGTCTTCTTTGGGAAAATGTCTATTCATGTCTTCTGCCCATTTTTTTTTTTTTTTAATGTTGCTAGAGATAGCTTTTTTTTTTTTTTTAAAGATTTTATTTATTTATTTGAGAGAGAGAATGAGAGACAGAGAGCATGAGAGGGAGGAGGGTCAGAGGGAGAAGCAGACTCCCCGCCGAGCAGGGAGCCCGATGCGGGACTCGATCCCGGGACTCCAGGATCATGACCTGAGCCGAAGGCAGTTGCTCAACCAACTGAGCCACCCAGGCGCCCCTCTTCTGCCCATTTTTTAATCAGATTATTCAGTTTTTTGGGTGTTGAGTTTTATAAGTTCTTTATATATTTTGGATACTCACCGTTTATCAGGTATGTCATTTACAAATATCTTCTCCTATTCCATAGGTTGCCTTTTAGTTTTGTTGATTGTTTCTATTTGAGGTCATTTGTAATTCCTTTTCTATATTTTTTACTATGGAGATTTTAAAACAGATGTAAAAATAGGATAGTATGATACACTTCCATGTACCCATCAACCAGCTTCAGTTTTATCAATGTTTTGCCAATCTTATTTCATCTGTTACCATTTTTTTATGAGTATTTCAAGGAAATAAGTCCCTGCTAATGTCATTTGACTTGCAAAATCTATGATAGTTCCCCTGCATGGTCCCTTATTTTTCAGATCATGAATTTTTTGGAGAAACACGGTTATTTGTAAAATGTGCACATCTAGATTAGACTTCATGTTTCATCTTGTAAGCTTATAATTAGAACTCTAGAGTCTTGATTAGAATCCAGTTCATTTTTCTAGGTAAGAATACTTTATAGGTAGTACTACTGTGTCCCTGTTGTCTCAATCTTCTAGCAATGTCGAGATTGATTAGTGGGTTCCAGGATCAGCAAGCTGATTCATTCATCTATGAACAGTTCTGCAGTCAGATTTTCATATAATGCTTGTAGCATTCATTGTAATTATTGCTGAAATTTACTTCATTTGGAATTACAAAACAGTGATTTTCTAATTCTTATATCTTCTGCATTTATTAGTTAGAATTCTCCTATAAAGAACTATTTGGTTATCCTGAAATATACTCTTTATAGCAAAGAAAAGATAAATGCTTGATTTTTTTTTTTCCCTTTACATATATTTCAGTGTAATGAAATGATTCTTCAGGGCGCCTGGGTGGCTCAGTTGGTTAAGCGACTGCCTTCGGCTCAGGTCATGATCCTGGAGTCCCGGGATCGAGTCCCACATCAGGCTCCCTGCTCGGCGGGGAGTCTGCTTCTCCCTCTGACCCCCTTCCCCCTCGTGCTTTCTGTCTCTCATTCTCTCTCTCTCTGAAATAAATAAAATCTTTAAAAAAAAAAAAAAAAATGATTCTTCAGCATCCTCCAGTAGCAAAGAGTATTTTGTTTTTTGTTTTGGTTTTTTTGGGTATCATTTTCAACTTGTGACTTTTTACTATTTTAATTTTTTAAATCTAGTGCAGTCCTCCTCATGGTGCTCAGATTGCCCCCATTTGCTCCATTTTTATGCCAGAAGAAACCACATCGGGTTGGCTCCTATGTCCTTTTGACATGGCTCTGGTAGTCTTGGATAGCTATACTACTTTCTATAATAAGATTTCTCAGGCTTATTTGATACATTATTCTCTAATCTTGGAAACACATTTTTCCAAAGAGCTGTTTCTTGTAGTGGAAAATGGTACTTAGGCGCCCCAGTCTGGTTGTTAGCAGTACTCATTGCTTATGGGTTGAATTACTTTTGGACTTTTCTACTGGGTAGAGCTAGGATGTACTTTAGAAAAACAAGGTCATGGGTGTCAACAAATTTTAATTAATAATAAAATTAAAGATGTTTGTTTTTTGTAAGCTTGACCTCCTTTAGTTTATCTGCAGCCCAAAACTAATGTTTGCATAAAAAGGAATGAAGTACTGATACATGCAACCTTCAAAATATGATGCTAAGTGAAAGGAGCCAGACACAAAAGGTCGCATGTGGTATGATTCCATTTGTATAAAATATCCAGAATAGATAAATCCATAGAGACAGAAAGATTGGTGTTTGGCAGAGGCTGGGGGGGTGGGAAAACTGTTTAAAGGGTATGGGGTTTTATTTTGGGATGATGAGAATGTTTTGGAACTAGATAGCAGTGGTGGTTGCACAACACATTGAATGTACACTGAATTGTATACACTGAAATGGTTAATTCTATATTATATGAATTTCACCTCAAAAAACCCCAATGTTTGTCTAATATCAAAAGCTTACTGGGCACCCCCGGGTGGCTTAGTGGTTAAGCATCTGCCTTCAGTTTAGGTCATGATCTCAGGATCCTGGGATCGAGCCTCACATCAGGTTCTCTGCTCAGCAGCAAGTCTGCTTCTCCCTCTCCCTCTGAGATCTCTCTCACCTCAAATAAATAAATAAAATCTTTTAAAAGAAAAAAGGTTACTAAGCGTCTATTGGTAATATTTCATGCATATGTTCAAGAAAGAAAGTTTTAGTCATTGACAAACCAAACTTGACCTCATTGCTATGAATTCTTCATTCAGTCCTGCTCTCCTTTCTTCTCACCCCACCCCCAACTAATAGTTATTAGAAAACTTTTTAAAAACTACATTCTCAGAAAGCACATTTTTCTACCTTTTATATTCAGTACACAGTGCTAATGCTACACTGCTAAGAAACTATTTTATCCCCCTCTAGTAAATGCTAAATGCTGTAAACTCTATATAGCTAAAGAAATTTTGAGAGATCATTAAAAAGTTTATACAGTGTTAACTAAAACAGGGGCGCCTGGGTGGCTCAGTTGTTAAGCGTCTGCCTTCAGTTCAGGTCATGTTCCCAGGGTCCTGGGATCCAGCCCCGCATCAGGCTCCCTGCTCCGCGGGAAACCTGCTTCTCCCTCTCCCACTCCCCCTGCTTGTGTTCCCTCTCTCGCTGTCTCTGTCAAATAAATAAAATCTTTAAAAAAAAAAAAAGTGTTAATAAAACAAAGGGAAATAGCTTATGAGGAGCTCTCCTTAACATAATCATAATTTTGAAAACTAAAGCGGGAAACAATGGGTTTGCTTTCTTGAGAAAATGTTTTTAAATAGCATTACATTTATTATTTATTTTTACATGGCAACTCATTATAGCACAGGGCTCGTGACGATCCACAAAGACTTGATCCTTAAACTGTATTTTCTAAAAGATTTGTCTTTTTTTGTATCCTATTCACCCTTCCTTAATCATGCCACCATGATTCTTAGGAAAAGGTGAAGTGTCCAAAGTCCTGGAAGAAAATTAGAATTTTAAAATACAATCTTGATTAATCTCAGTTGCGATCTTAATAAAGATTTTTTTATATTTATACTCAGAAATCAGAATTACGTTATTTCGTTTGATGCTAGTTGGGTTCATTCTTTTCACGTTGTTATTAGTTTGCTAGGGCTGCTGTAACAAAGTACCATGGACTGAGTGATTTAAACCATAAAAGTTTACTTTCTCATAATTCTGAAGGGTAGGAATTTGAAATCAAGGTATTGGTAGGGTTTCTTCTGAGACCTCTCTCCTTGCCTTGATGGCTGTCTTCTCCCTGTGTTCTTCACATTGTATTCCCTCTGTGTGGCTATAGCTTAACCTCCTGTTGTTATAAGGATACCAGTCATATTAGATTAGGGTCCACTCTAATAATCCTGTTTTGTCTTAATTACCTCTTCAAAGACCCCATCCATGGGTCATTTTAGCAGCACCTATACTAAAACTGGAATGATACAGAGAAGAGTAGCATCGCCCCTGTGCAAGGATGATACACAAATTTGAGAAGCATTCCATGTTTTAAAAATGTTTCCTGAACAGAAAAAAAAGAGGGGGGAAAAAGATCCTATCTCCAAATATGGTCACTTTTGGAAGTACTGAGAGTTAGGACTTCCCAACGTAAGAATTCATTCAGCCTATAACAAACCTACTCCTTTTCTTTTACAGGTCAGTTTGCTGAGAACGAAACTAATGAAGTCAATTTTAGAGAGATTCCTTCACATGTGCTATCAAAAGTATGCATGTATTTTACCTACAAGGTTCGCTACACTAACAGCTCCACAGAGATTCCTGAATTCCCAATTGCACCTGAAATTGCACTGGAACTGCTGATGGCTGCGAACTTCCTAGATTGTTAAATAAAATAAATTATAATAAACTGTTAACTTTTTTCAGTATTTAATACCTGTAGTTCAGTTAGTAATTTTTTCATATATAGCATGTTGCCTGTGTGCAGTTGAACTTTAAAGTTCATTGCAAAGCAGATTATCTTCTGTTCTTTTGCATAGCAATCAGAGTTGAAATTTGTTTGCTACATCAACAAATTAAGGACATTTTCACAAATTGAGAAATAAACAAATATGCCAATTCGTAGGTGGTTTTGCCTTATCCTTTGGATGTGATTTTTAAAATTAGAGCAGTGGTGATATAGTAAATACTGAAATTTAAGCATATATGAACACATTCTACAGGTAAATAATGGGGCTACGTATTTTTGTGTTTTCAGTGTTTTTTTTTTAAACCTATTCTGATCTTATAGCCGTTGTTAGCATTACTAGAGTTATGCAAATAATTGCATTATAAACATGTTTATAACTTAGCCAAAACATTGATTTTTATAACTGTCAAAGACATAAGAGGTGATATTTCTTATGTGTCTTTTGATAAACTGCAGTATTGTTTAAGTGTATCTTGTCTTTTTGTTTATTTAAAGCTACAATTTAAGAACTTTATTTAAAAGCAATTTTGGAAGATTACTAGGAATAGCTTTTGGAGCAGTCACTTTTTGAACTATAGCCACATGGTCAACAAGTGAACTACATGACTGATTTCATATGCATTGTGCATTTTGGCCAATCCACAGTACTGTATTTCATTGACTATAAAGCTTCCTTCGCAATATTCATTCTTCTTAAATAGTCCCTTGTTGTGACTGCACTTCTGATTATTTAAATATGTTTTAAAGGATTCATTATGGACTTTATTCAGCTCTTAAAAGCTAGACTTTTCTGAACTATTCCAGTCTTCCTCCAACCAACTGAAATGTTATGAAAAAATTTAAAAACGTGGAGTGATACAGTGCAAATCTTACAATGCACTTTGATGTAGTTTATGAATTATCTTCTATTAATTAAAATATGTCCCAATAAGTATGATACCCATAATCTGTGGGTCTTTTACTGAAATCAGACTTAATAAAGAGGTCATTCAGCTTTTATACTAAACAGACAAAAAATTTGAAAAACTATGACAGAGCACCTCTGCTTAGGCATGGGAAAAGGAGCACTGGAGTAGGGTTTATTATTATCTCTATCTTAGTAATAAAACAAAGCTGTCATTATAGGAGATACATAGTTAAGCCTTCAGCTTAGTTCTTTAAGACTGGTTTAATATGGCCCAGTTTTTCTGGAACCTGCCAAGAACATAAACAGCCAAGATCTAGAAAAGTAATTTTTCCTCATAGAAGACCTAACGTACTTTCCAGCTTACTCAAAGCAATTAAATATGTTAATTGCATATATTTTAGTAACTTCTCAAGACATACTGGTACATATTTTAGTATAGAAGGTTATCAAGTACAAGAATTATATTCTGCTACTTGCTGACAATATCAAAAACCTAAATGATGATCTTAAAGGTCAAAGTGACAACTAAAAGTTCAGCTTTGACCAGTTTTAGTAGGTTACTCTATGTGTTAGATCCAGAAGTAACCTTAAGTTTAAAATATTGAAATAGAGCAAAGATTAGGAAAAACTGTATATCTTGCGGCAAATGATACTTGCATGTTAATAAAGGCTCTTGACTGAAAGGTTTGATGAACACTTGGTTTTTGATCTTTTTAACTTTAATTTTCTCTTTCTCCTGAGAATTCATGAAACTACTTGCTTCAGGACATCTTGCCATATGATTTAGTAGCAAGAATTTTTATTTGGTTAAATCAAAGAGATAATTTTATATAGCATTGAAAACAGTTTTCTGACACTTAGTAATTAGTTTACTTTCCAAATTATGGGCAGATCTGCCCAACTTTCTTTTTTCTGCAAACTATTACCACAAAATCTTGTTTTATTCAGTTAATATTTCATTTCTGTACTAAGATTATCTTACGCTTTTTAGATTGCTTATCTTTCATGCAATTATTGACAAATGACAGTCTCCTTACTTTTGAAGTCTTGTTGATACTAAGAAATACAATTCACCGTAAGCAGTAAATTCAGCTCATGTTAAAAGAGAAATACATTTAGAGACATCTTGCTATGCATGGAATGGTCATCTTAGTGTGAGCCATATGCTAAATTTATCAATTTTGAAAATATTTCAGGTATTCTGAGAAATAATATAAAACTGCTATTAAAGATTGAAGAGTGTTTAACCCTAGTAATTCCTATTTATATAATTTTCTATAAAGAAATTTCATACAACTTAAAGTTTGGACATATCCAGACTTAGCATGCTAAGTTGAGCTTTTGATTGGTTATCTCTAAGTTTGATAAGACATTTAAGATCTGGAAATCAGTAAATGCCATTGGATTTTTTTTATATGCATGGTGTTTTATTTACAATATATAAATGTTTTAATTCCAGGCCAGTCATATTTGTGCCAAGAGTTTACATTTCTATTAGGTTAAACTCTTAAATTTTGTACCTAATGATCTCTTGGTTTAAGCAAATATTTATTAGCCCAGTTTTGTGTTCTAACACAAAGCTGGGCATTAAATTCTGAAATCTTGTGTTAACTAGCCATGTTATCTTGAACAAGTTACTGGGCCTTAATTTTACATTTAGAAAATTAGGAGATTGCACATTAATAGGGTGATAATGTTTACCACATTAATTTTCTTAACAAACAAGATTGTGTTTGTGGATATTGCTTAAATCCAAGATGACAAACATTACAGATGATAAGATTAGGATTATAAATGAGAGAAAATGGTTTTGTTGTTGCATCTCTTAAATAATACTCTAAATTTGTTTCACTGCTTTTCATTAAGCATTAAATACCATACATCAGTACTACATATATTAATAATTAGTTTAGAATCCTTGTAGTTGTTTTCTATTGCCTGCTACATAAAGAAAATTCAATTTTAGTTTTGGTTACCAATAATTGTTAATATAAAGGGAATATTGGCTGTTTTCATGCCAGTATTATGTAATGCAAGTTCAACCCAAAACTCATTTTTCATTCATACCCTAAATTAGTAACTTACGCTGAAATAGATACATGTGTAAATTACTTATAACAGTTATATGATTTTAGCTTTTACATTTAGGTCTTTGATTTTAAGTTAAATTTTGTATATGGTGTGAGGTAATGATTCAACCTCATTCTCTCTTATGTGGGCATCCCAGTACCATTTGTTAAAAAGACTGTTCTTTCCCCCATTTAATGGTCTTGGCACCCTTGTTGAAAATTTTAAAGTTGCTTTGATATAGAACTTATGTCTTAATTGTCAAATCGTTCTGTAAGTTTTGTGTTTGTTATTACTCTTATATAGGACCCAGGGGCATCAGAATTAGATTTTTTCCCCTCTGTAGTACTAGATGCTTAGAGTCATTTTTAATATAAAAATATCTTGTAAGGTTTACCTAGATATAAGTTTATATGTTAAGGCCTTTATTTGTGATAAGATCTATTGCTTCATTATCTAGAGAAGCATGTATATGATGATAGCTTAGGATAAGAAAAATTCAAATTTCATGACTTTTTATTCAACCAGAATTATCTAAAATTTTTTAATCAGCCTTTTACATTATGAAGTAAGGCTTGTGATTAATTCCGTCTGTGCATATCAATTTATCTAGTTCCACTGTTGGATTTTTTTTGTAATACATCACTAGGATATTAACTATAAGGCATGTTAAATTTTGATGCAAATTTATCAAATATATTTTACTTTTGAGTCAGTGTAGTGTCATTTCTGTGAATCCCATCTCAAGTATAATTTTGAATTGGAAAGCACATTTTCTTCAGACTATTAAAGACAATTTTTGTCTTTCCATAATTTCATTCAGCCACTTTTGAACAAAATGCCTGTTTCTTTAGTTTCTTACAGCCATCATTTGGATCAATCAGTATGTTGCCTTTTGCTATTTGGTTTTTATTTTGATGAAGATCCAAGACAAAATTTATAGTTCAGCAAAGATCACAAGCTAATCTATGGTGAGATTCTAGATTCAGATTATAGTTCAAATTAGAACAAACATGGTGCTTAGCTTCTAGAGGTGACCTATGAATCCTACATCCAGAAAAGGAATTGATATTTGTTAGAGTATTTCAATATACAGAATATTGAAATGGTAGAATTGAGATAGGGAGGTAATGCATGAGGTGTGCCTATGAAATAGTAAATGCTTAAGAAATATATAACATTTCTCTCTAAATGAACATTATCCTTCACTTAGTAGGGCTATTGTTCCTCAAAATGTTTCCAGATTTCAGAGTTTATAATAAATGTCCTTTTGAATAGCCTCATTAGTGAGAGATGCTTTTCTTTAAATGTTTTGCAATAGCCAATAAATATTTTTATCTAAACCTACTGAATAAAGGTAAGTGGCCAGACTGGTTCAGGAAGAAGGTATATAACTAGAAGAACTAGAGGAGCTTTCTCATATAGCCAGTAATCTGGTTCAGGTATCATGGCATGTCACAAAAACTGTAAGAATGTAGCAGCATCAAAGTTGTAATTCAAATGGATTTTATAAAATTGCTCTCTTACAATGCAGCACATCTCCATTACTTTGCTTAAAGTAGACAGGGTTTAAGCATTGTGCTTCCAACATTTTGTTGTTTTTTTCCACCA